GATATATGACTTGATCGATACAGTATTTTTAAGAAAGAAGCTTCACATGTTTTTAATCGCATCGTTTTTATTAAGAGTAGAATAGAAATTTTAAAGTTAAGTTATTTTGAAGTATAAATATGTAAATTTTTTTGGATAGATAAAAAAAGGTGTGTCACGTGAATTTGAGACGGAGGGAAAAGATAACTGCAACAAGATTATCCTTTTGCAGATGAGATTTTTCTGTAGTAATCTAGATTATCCCATGAAAGATTCTTGTACAGTTAGTACTTGTGGATGTAAGTTTATCTTAATATTTTTTATTTTTTTTAATGTTATTACAAAAAGTTATGCTAAATTGCTAATTATGTTCCTTAATCCGTGACTAATGGTGTAATTTTCTCCTACTATAATAGCCATTTAAGACAAATGCCCAATCCTGTCACGACCCAAACCGGGTTGCGACTGGCACCCACACTTACCCTCCTATGTGAGCGAACCAACCAATCTAACCTTAACATTTCAATGTAATAACAACAGAAAGTAATGCGGAAGACTTAACTCATTAATAAAAATCAATTCAATAACTATCAATATTCAACATCTATTATTCCCAAAACCTGGAAGTCATCACCACAAGAACATCTACAATCAAATGACTAAACTAAGAGTATTCTAAAAGCTAAAAATACATAAGAAGCTAGTCCGTGTCGGAGGTTCAAGGCATCAAGACATGAAGGAGGAGATCCAGTCCAAGCTAGAAGCGTTAGCTCACCCTGAAGATCCGGTGTGACGAAGACTGGCTTGAATTACTGTTGAGTCGAAGATGACGACACGTTTGCTGCATTCCACAATTAAACAAGAAGAAAACAATAAAAGTAGGGGTCAGTACAAAGCACGGGTACTGAGTAGATATCATCGGCCAACTCAAAATAGAAAACAGTATATATCAAGTAATATCATAAAGTCAACTATGATACTCAACATGTAGCAACAACAAGCACTATATCATTAATAATTACCGTCAAGTTCACACGTGAGGACTCAAGCCCCAATACCATACTCATTTGGGAATCATGTTCGTTAGATTGAGTATATTACATCTTTCAAGATTCATTATCTTTGTTTCTCTTGTGTCGGTACGTGACACTCCGCTCCCTCATATTCATTATTCCTCTTGTGTCGGTACGTGACACTCCGATCCCCTAAATCTACGTGTCGGTTCGTGACACCCGATCCCCTAATTCTACGTGTC